GGTGGGGGGAAAGCTCCTAACGGTGAACTAACGCATTCCAGCTCCTAACGCTGATCGGACAATATCGTTAATGGGCTCTCTAACGCCCAAGATTATACCAAGCTTGCTCTTCCTCACAATTCACCCGTACAGTCCAGAAAGATGACTGGCAGATTCGTACATGGCACCTAAAGCTGATCTTCCGACAGATACAGACACGGTGCTGATAAATAATACAAGCTAATCTATCGACGAAAAGAAACGGGATATAGTATAGTTCCTGAAGGAGCTTCCTCCATTCACGCAAATACGAACCCCTCGCCCTGTGAAATAACGGGGGGGCCTTGCAGCCAGGCACGTGCGACGTTCGGTTTTCCGAAGGGTTCGTCGATGGCGGTTAAATGTGCCCATTTTTGACAGTCGGCAAATGTGTGCACCTGAAACCTGGGGCCATTTACCGGTCATGAGGAGTCGTACGCTTTCAACTGACTGTTAACTGACTATGGAAGGGACTCGGGCAATCGGGGTCGGCAATCGAACTTCCCGAAGACATGTACGCCCTACGGATCCCGCCTACCGCAGACAACATATCCGTTGCGTATACGATGTGAGCATCGACAGGGGTAAATCAGGCATATAGTCCAGATGGATTACATGCCAATTGCCTACCCCTTCTCTCTCTCTCTGTGTGTGTCTGTGTGTATATATATTTCTGTGTGACGGTCGCTCGCTCTTGCGCACCTTGTGCACTTCTTGTATCTTGCTATCTATCCCTATACCCGTTCGTCCTCGCCTCAGTCACTTTCTATTCCTACCGCCTAAAACCACCCCGGTTTCCTCCTCAAGCTTTTTTGTTCTCGTACCAGAACTCGACCATGTCCTTCAACCCTTCCCTTTCTATCTCCGCCCTTCATTGTGCACTTCCTCCACCATCCCCATATACGCTATCCACCTTCACCCGTGGCAGTCAGCTCGTCTCTCTACCTGCCGCCCACCCTCACTGTCCCCTCCCCGTGAAACATTTCTGTCCACAATAACGTCTTCAAACCTCAACAACACTTCCCCGCACCGTCCCCCCATGCACGCCATCGTCACTCCCCCCTAGCTATCAGCTCGCCTTTCTCCCTACAGCCCACCCTCACTGTTCCTTCCAATCAACAACAGCAGTATAACACACCTTCAAACTGGACCATCTTCACTCCACCCTTTACAACACCCCTGACCCCGACCTCCGCCAACGGTCCCATCCACCCCATCCACCTTCCCTCCCAGCTGTCAGCTCTTCTTCCTCCCTACCGCCCATCCCGACTCCGATACATGCTTCCTCCTGATGCCGTTATTCCACACCTTATCCTCCCAACAATACCTTTGACCTTTATTCTTTCCGAGCGATTGATAATCGCTAACCCTAGATAGGCCGATCTAGACCTTCCTCTCAGTCTGCCCGGCAACCCTCCTTTTCCCCTCTTTCCCCAACGACACGTACATCATCCGCCGCCACACCATCTTCCACCCACCCCCGCCCCTTAATTCACCTCGTCCACTCACCCCTCCCCTGCCCTTTCTCTCATCTTCCGGCTCTTCCCACTCTCGACCTTGTTCCCTTCTCCCTGACTGTCATAGCCTCCTTACCCGGCGAGAACTGCCTCCTCCCACTCACCTTTCAGCCTTTCTCTTCCCTCGCCGCCCCACCTGTGCCCCCCCCAGACAAAAACCGTTTCGTCCGTCATTACTCTTCCACCCACCTCCGGCCCCCATTTCACCTCGCCCACTCCGCCCTCCCCTGCTCTCTCTCTCATCTTCCCGCTCTCCCCGTTCTCAACTTCTTTCCCTTCTACCTAACCATTGTAGCCTCCTTACCCGGCGAGACCTGCTCCCTCTTGACCGCGTACGCTCCCGCTGCTCTCAAATCTACGGATCGTCCTCGAGCCCCCTTAGGACATTTCTCCCCCCTTCCCCCAGCTCTCAACTTCATCGTGCCCTCGAGAACCACGGTCCATCGAGAGGGAACCTTCCAGTCTCTTTCACTACGACCGGTCCCACACTCCTTCCTTCTACCAGCCCTTCCACAGCCTACATCCACGTTCGTCCCATCCTAATGTCCTCAAGGCCCTCGTTCAACACCCCCCCCCCCCCCCCCTCCCCCACTCCCCTCCACACCCTTCTCCCTCACGTCCACTGAAGNTCGTCCCATCCTAATGTCCTCAAGGCCCTCGTTCGTTACGTCCCTTCCGACTCGTCTGCCTCGTCCCAAGTACCTTCCTCCACTGCCCTCCACACCCTTCTCCCTCACGTCCACTGAAGATCTTGCTGCCCCCATCTATCTACAATCGCCCCACCCTCTCCTATTCGCGTCTGCCTCGTCCCTAGTACCTTCCTCCACTGCCCTCCACACCCTTCTCCCTCACGTCCACTAAAGATCTTGACCCCCATCTACCTACAATCGCCCCACCCTCTCCTATTCGCGACGCCTCCCATTCTTCTGCATTCTCCAACCTCCTCGGCCTGCCTTCGACACTACATGCTTCATAACGCGTCCTCATCCTCGTTCTTCATCATCTTCGTCTCGTTCCTTTGATTCACCCAGCTTGCCTCGTGGCAAATTCCAGCTACTACATTATATAAGTGCCAATCATACTTACCCGCTCTCTTACTCGCTGAGAGAACGCTCTTCTTTGGCCCCTCCCTCCCCCTACGTCCCTCCAAAACACGACTCTTCCCCCTCACGAACCCACACCCAAACCCCTACGTCCCACCAACACACGACTCTTCCCCCTCATGAACCAAGACCCCAACCCCCTACGTCCCACCAACACACGACTCTTCCCCCTCATGAAACCACACCGCGACCACCTACGTCCCTCCTCCCACGACTCTTCCTCCTCAAGAACCCACCACACCCCAACCACAAACAACCCTCGTGAAACCACACCCCAACCACCTACGTCCCTCCTCCCACGACTCTTCCTCCTCATGAACCCACCACACCCACCACAAACAAAAGAGTATGGCCAAAGTCAACAGAAAGAGACGATATGACGAGAACGCCGCTTCAGGGAAAAAATGAACACGCCACCACGAAACAATACCTTCTTTGGAAAAACCTCGTTCCAATGATGAGACCAGATACAAATAGATTAAAACGCAAACCCAAAGATCCAAGATTCACGAACAAAAATATGAGCAACGTCGTGTGGGAGCAGACAAAAAACGAAGGTTCCACTTCTGACACATTCCTGAGTGACACAACATCCCTTTTCCCCCTCTCAACGCCTAATTCCATCACCCATCTTCTCGCAAAGTTTCGCATATTCGACATTCACCAGACATTTATAATCCCACCGGCTCCACCGCGAATCGTCGCCTGCAAGTTGCTTCACGTCCCTCCGCGCCCGTTTCCGCA